TAAAACCAGCAGAAAACTCTTAGCCACAGTACTGCAAATACAGCCTGCCAGCTCTTGGAGAAAACACAGTCTTAGTAAAATGTAGTTCTCCATAGCAGTGTGGGTTATCTTTTGTTCTCAGTATAAAGCACAATGGTGCCATCTGAGCAAGGACAGCAATGTAGAGAACTGGGGAGGGAGAAAGGGACAAAAAAAGTTTTACTAAGTTTACAGAGTGAGAGAAGGCAGCAAGAAAGGGGGAGTTTGCTTCTTGGGACCAAGACAGGTTTTGACATAGAAGTAAAGTGTTTGGAAATTACAAGCTCTGATTGGGACAGAGCAGTCTTCCAACTACTCCAGTGCCTTCCCTGAGGCCTCACAGGAATGCTGATACACACTGTCTTATGGTCCAACTATGTAGAGCATCAAATATATTTATTGCAACTGTGTGTGTTTCCAGTGTACATGAACCTGTATTACACTGCCACAAGTGCAGATGCATGTTACTGCTTTACATGCCAGTTATATGGAAGTGAAGGGGATCACGAAGAGCAGGAATAAAAAAATGAGATAGAGAAGAATAATAAAAAACCTACCAGTGTGATATATTCGTTGGTGGGCTTAGCACAAAATTCTTTATAAATATGGCCTGTTTCTTGATGCTAATGTGACAGCCTACCGACAATATAAAATGATAATATAGGAAGGATTTGCAAGCACAGTTAACAGCTCTCTCAGGTCTTCAGCCTGTGTCTCACAAGGTACTTTGATCCTGTCTGCATTTGGGGAAGAACAGTGGTAACCGCCTAGTGTAATATGTCTGCAGTTCTGCTACTGTAGAGCTGGAGTATTTCTGCTGTCAGCTTATGCAGAGACTGAGAAGTTTATTCTGATTGAATAAGATGTTGCTGCAAGTTTCACTATCTTTGTAAAGTGGAAAAGCAAGAGTCTGATGTTCTAAAATGAAGCAATTTCTTTATTAAATAAATTGTGAATAAGTCTGTTGCTCCTCACCCAATCCCTTTCTGCTTTTGCTGATCTAATAACTGCCAGTGCGTTGCGTTCAGTCACTGTGGTAACCGCTTATAAATAACCAATGTCCATAGAATCAACTCAATAGCAACCAGAAGGCAGACATATTGGCTTCCCGGATAACCTGCTCTGAGCATCAGCACTGCGGTCCTCCTCCTTCAAGATCATCGCCTCTCTCTTTATCACATGGCCTAACCCTGACCATGATATTGCTCTCTTCTACTTTTTCTCCTTTTCCCTCCCTTCCCACCTTTTTTAACAGTAGGTTTCAAGTAACTATGGCAACAAGCCTGGGAATTTTCAGCTTATTCATTTCATCTGAAATCTGGGTCATGTCTTTCTCATTAAGTGAAACTATTGTATGGGGATAACTGGCCCAAACTCAGCCCTTGGTGCAAGAGAAAGCAGCGGCAATTACAGCAGCACTTGCAAGTACTTATGTGATGGCTGTATTTGGTCCACTGTGTAGAAAAAGGTAAAGGCACAAAGCACGCCACTTAAAATTTTGAAAGTATTTAATAATTTTGAAAGCGTTTAACCCATAACTTACCCAGGGGAGAAACATGCTGTAACTTGCTTTAATTAGTGCTGATTTATAGGTTGGTTGAAATAGTCTCATGTCATGCTTCTTGTCCTAGGGTATGTATTAACTGAAGGGATGCCTTCTCAGAGCAGTACTGAGTGATGTAAGTGATACTGATAGCCCCTCTCATTCTTTGAAGAGGACATCTGGGGGTGTGAAATCTTAAAGCTGCCTCCTGGCAGGACAAGATATTAATCTCCCCTAATCTGTCACTCTGCAGTCTGCCTGGATCTGAGATCACGACTTAAACACAGAAAGACCTCTAGATTTTAACTTGTACCAATGCCAAGGGAATAGCATGGTTGTCTCAAACATTCCTCTCTCACACGTTTGGATACACCATGTCTCCTTGCCCCTGGGATCACTTAAAATCCCAAGACAATTACTGTATTTCTTCATGGGGAAGCCGTGCAAAGCAGTGTGTATTTTTGTACACACTTGATGTTACGGGTCACCTGGAAGGAAAGCACAAAGCCAGCAGTGTCACTGGTAACCTCTCTAATACTTTGTTTTCTAAAAAAGCAGAACAATTTTTTGATCTTATTGCCTTATCAGCCAAAATTCATCAGCACAGAAATGCTGAACAACATAGGCTGTTTTTCATGGCAAGGTAATGACTGTCTCATGAGAGCGCAGAGAATTAAGAATTTCTGTTGAGCAGAGAAACTAGGAAAAATAGATTTGGGGTGATTATGCCAACTTTCTGCTCCAGAAAGTAGCAGGGAAGCAAACCCTTTGCCTTATTGAGGAGTGAAGCAGCCGTGGGTGCCAGCCGGGCAGCACAGCCCAGGCAGCAGCCAGCTGGAAGGAGGGGGCAGAGGTAGGATGCCAGCCGGCCCCCCGCACTGCTCGGGGCTCAGGCAGCCCGAGTTTGCAGTGCTCTTCTCTGCTTTACAGTGGCAAGACCGTGGACTTGTTCACACAGAAACAAAAGCACAGCTTCAGCTTGCTCTCTGCCAGGTGCTTATGTGCCTGTATTCCCTGTACAACCAGAAAGCCACCG